GCGGGCCTGGCCGGGCCGCGGGGGCTGCCTGGGCCGCGGGCACCAGGGGCTGTTGCTCAGGTAACGCTTTGGCGAGCCCAGGGCCAGGGAAGCACGGGGCCCGCGTCCTCCGCTTTCTACACGTCCTCTGCCTACGTTCCCCACACAAGTAGCTGCCCCAAAACGCAGCGTTTGTCCATCAGGATAAAGTGGAGCTGCCAACAAAAGCCCATATAAAATGGTACTTTCACAATGTTCACGCCTCTCGTGTACAAACACATCCCGGTGGGGGTTTCTGTCGTTTCTGTGATGCTTATAGCAAGGCAACAGTGAATAACTCCTGACTGGATTTTTGAGATGCAGTCCACTTTCCTCCCCATGTATTTGGTGATAGCTCTGTCCCTGTGTGAAAGTACCTATATTTCTATCTATAAAACGTGTCTTTTTTTAACAGTAATGGCAAAGTATAAGAAATGCCGACGAAAACGAAGAGCCAGAACAAAATTTCTACTGGAAAAAAAAGGAGATGCTGCAAATCCCCAGGACCTCAGTTGTCCTTCTCCACAGTAAGAGACTTAGTTTGAACTTTTTTTAACTCAATTTCTGGGCCCACTGCTCCCAGTGGTTCATGGAACTGGAGAATTGTGTTCAGAGCCTACCTACACCCTGGCATGAATGCTGTGGAATTGTCTTATCTTGTATATCTTCTAGTAGTCTTATCTATTGTTAACTTTAATAGGCAGGAAAAGCAATTTGGATAAAAATATATTGTGAATATGAATGGTTTTTTCCTCCCTTTATTGAAATGTATCTTGGTGTTTCCTGGCCTCTGTGCTCATGTTTACACTGTTGTCACCTGCTCTCACTGGCACTTGTGATTTCCAGGTGATTGGTGACAGTTAACTCTTTTAAAGGCTGAAATTATATCTATAATTATCACCTCATTCTGAAATATGCTGTCCCAGGTCAGCAAGTGATCCGAATATGCCGTCTGTCCCAAGCCACCTGTCCTCACTCTGGTCATTAGCCTTTCCTGGTGTAAAAAATGTGGTAAAACCCTTTACAACAACAGCATCACTTCTGTATTGTTGGTGCCAGCACACGGTTGCACAGGTATGTTTTCTACTGATCTAACTTTGCCAATAGGTGAGATTATCCTTAGCCCTCAGATGCAGGATGTACAGTTAGATTTGAGAATTTAGCTGTAAGTTTTGTTACTTCTGTTGAAGCATCCAGAGCATATTTTGTGTGTACTGTTGAAACAATAAGCATAAGAATATCAAGGCCAATGTGGGCATTAAATCCATACGTGAAATTATAGGGGGGTTTATTGCAACATGAGAAGGATTTGCAGTGACAGAGGTGGAGTCTGTCTTTCATAGCAGAAACAATTGTATGAAATTTTCTGGTCAAATGTGAATTATACTTTAGAATTTGTAGATGCAGTTAAGATTTCTTTGGAGAAAGTCACTCCTTGGCTTCCTTGCCAAGGAAACATTTGGTGAAATTTTCTATCTTCGTGTTGAGCCTTCCCACTGACTATAACGAGGAAACCTTGTGACAGAGCTTTCAGTCGCTGGAAACGTAACCATGAAAATGCTTGTCTGGTTTCTTTTTACTCTTAGAGTTTTAGGGTGGTTAAAGACACCATATTTCCTTCACAAATCTACCTAAAGGAGCTAAATACGCTCAAAGAGCAGCTGGAAAAGTTGGAAACTGAATTTTCCAGACTACAAGGAATACTCCAGGTCAGTCTCGAGCCCAGTGGGGCAGGGTCATGTTTTTTTATGCAAGCATGTAAGGAACTGTGGTCATTGCAGATGAACTGAAATCTTCAGAGATTCTCCTTGAGCCGTGTTTCACCCCTTCTTCGCATCCAGCATTACTAAACTGCAGTCACCTCACAGCTAGAGGGGACTGGGTTGCTGGCGAGCCAAGCCTCATAAGAGACTTTCTATGTCTTTCTGGATTAACTGAAGCTAGAACCTCTGGTCTCTGAAATTCCATCCACTTTTGCCACTGGATTTAACATTCTCTCGTTTATTGATATTGTTTTCAGATTAATGGAATGGCAGCTTTGTCTTCAGAGAATTCTTTTTGTCAAAGGTGTAATAAGGCAGCTCTGGGTGCTCCTGCACAAATGCAGATGGGCCCGCTCTCATCAGGATCTGGGCCTTCCACAACACAGCTGCAGCCCGTGTCTGCTCCTCCTCCACCACCACCACCACCACCCCTGCCAAAACTGCCTCCAGCACCTCTCCCCTTCAAACGGGTCAACGGCTCTAAAGCCCTTCTGGTAGGGAGCAAGAAGGTTCCTCTCTTTCCTCACGCATGGCTGGGTGCTTTGGACCTGCTTTCATCAGGAATGTGTGTCTGTGTGGAAGCTCAGTCATTTGCTGATCCTAATTTCCCTTCCAACCACCTTTTTGGTTTCAGGGACCATCACTCAAAAAAGATGGGCCGATGCAGATCACTCTCAAAGATCTCCTGAACGTTAAACTGAAGAAGACGGACAGTGGAGAACACGTGGATAAACAGATGATGGTAGATCAGGCAAACCCCACGCAGGAACCCGTGTATTTCCTGCAGGGCTTAGTCTTAGCCCCTCATGGAATTTTTTTCAATAAATTAATTCTTCTCTTCTAAAAACCCAGTGATCTGCTTTAAATAATCCTTCCAATTCTGCACCTGGGCATTTGAAGTGAAGAAATTAGGCTGGCACGCAGGACAGTTCTCCTAATTTTACATTAAGGGCATGTAGCTTTCGTGTAGCTTTATGTTTGTGTTATCAGTGGAATTTAGGCTTTCTTTTGCCTAGCTGATATCTTGTTTGAACAAGTTCTTGAGGGTCTTTTTTATAAATAAATCTATTTTTGTCCAAGACACATTAAAATTTTAATTAATCAGAAAAGCCTAAAAGCCACAAACCATGGAAGTCTTTCAGAGTATAAATATTAAATAGATTTAAGGTCAGCAAGGCCTTCTAAAGTCTATCTGTGGTAACATTTCTCTTAGAATCATAGAATCATAGAATGGTTTGGGTTGGAAGGGACCTTAAAGATCATCTAGTTCCAACCCCCCTGCCATGGGCAGGGACACCTTGCACTAGACCAGGTTGCTCCAAGCCTCATCCAGTCTGGCTTGGAAGACATCCAGGGATGGGGCATCCCCAACATCTCTGGGCAACCTGTTCCAGTGCCTCACCACCCTCTCTGTGAAGAATTTCTTCCTGACATCTAATCTAAACCTCCCTGATTGCAATTTATACCCATTACCCCTTGTCCTATCACTCTTCTTTCTTTCTTCAGGCAGAATCGCCAGTGAAGACACGCAGGGCATTAATTACCGTCTCAGATTTACAGGGTCTCAGTCTGAGACCTAAATCCAAGCCATCAGTTCGCGTTACAAACCCCTTATTGTAAGATGCTTTCTTCCCTTTTTGATACTAGATTTTTCTGTTCTAAACAGTGATTAACATTGTTTACAGAGTGGAAAACACTGTATTTCAAGTTTGGTTTGTTCTTTCAGCACCCCTCCTAAAAATCTGTTAGATCTTCGAAAACATCTGAAGAAAGTCAATGTACAAAGGTAAGTTCCTTTCTATTCTTGTTTTTTCTAGGAAAAAATAGAGACGTAATCTTAAGTCTTCTTGCTTCCAATCTTTTCAGAAGTCCTGGTGGCACTCCACTAAACAGTAAAGAAAACATTGAATGTGGGTCTGGGTTGACACCAATAATGACACAGGCACTACGGCGTAAATTTCAGGTAAGTTATGGTGTTTCTCTCTTCGGAATAATAAACCGGCCTTCGCAGAATGGTTTGGGCTGGAAGGGACCTTAAACATCATCTCGTTCCACCCCCCTGCCGAGGGCAGGGACACCTTCCACCAGACCAGGTTGCTCCAAGCCTCATCCAGCCTGGCCTTGAACACTTCCAGGGATGGGGCATCCACAGCTTCTCTGGGCAACCTGTCCCAGTGCCTCCCCACCCTCTCTGGGAGGAACTTCTTCCTGATATCTAATCTAAACCTCCCCACTTTCAATTTAAACCCTTTACCCCTTGTTCTGTCACTACAGGCCCTTGTAAAAAGTCCCCCCCAGCTTCCTTGTAGCCCCTTCAGGTACTGGAAGGGGCTGTAAGGTCTCCCCTTCAAATCTGTAGAGCGTACTACTGATTTTTCTCCCTCAGTGCTATTGGTATGTATTACATAAATTACAGTCTCTCCATAATTCTCATCCAAAAGCCGGGAATATCCACAAATAAAGGTGTTTGTTATGCTGATTGCTATTTTAATGTTAAGGAAACGGCAGAATGGAAATGCCATTTCCTGTCTTCCAGCAGGTGGTTTGACCATGGTGAGAGGAAAAGTTGCTTTATTGCATGGAGGCACTAGAATGGCCAACAACCTCTAACCTGACGGTCCTAATTTGCAGGAGAACAAAGTCTGAGGGTTAATAATATCTATGTTTTGTTGTGTCTGTTTTCTTTTATGGATGTCAGTTATAAATTACACTGTGTTTTATCTGGGTCATAATTAGCACTCAGTTCATCTTGTAAGATCTGACTCTTTTCTTATTTTGACAGATGGCTCATCCAAAGAGCCCCTCGCCAGCCGGGGTCAGTGCCGCGAGCAGCTTTGATGAACACAAGTAGGGTTATGGCACAGTGTATTTTTCATTTGTGGTCAGGAAGCCACTTGCATCCCATTTTTATCTCACTCAGGCATATGTATTTCTAAGTAAATCTCGTGCACAGGAGGAAAGGGCATTATGAAACTCCTTTAGCAGAATTCTGCGGTTTCGGTCTGGTTCCATCTTCTCTGCTAGCGGAAAACACAATGTAATTTCCCAAGTCTCTGGACACCTGGCTGCTGCTGAGCAGGGACTATGATGTTGCCAGCACTGGTGCTGCTTGTAATACAAGTGTGTGTGTGTTTGACGTTCAGTAGTGGGTTTATCTTTGTTACTGTGAACGATCTCGCCGGTAACGACGGCTGCCAAGCAAAGCCGCAGCTGAGAACTCCAGTAGAAAGGCTGCACCTTTACACAAGCGATTTAATTGCCTGTGCGTGGATGGAGGAAGAAATCAGCGTGGATGGAGCGCGGGTCCTCGTGGCGCAGCGCTGCCCCGCTGTGGTCTGACGGAGCGCTGCCCTCCCGCCGGCCCCCTGCCCGCTGGAGCATCCCCGAACCCCGGGGCTGGCTGGAGAGGTGACATTCCCACCACTTAATGCGCAGTCGCTTCGCTGTCTCATCGCTCCTGGCCTGCTGCGAA